CAACCGGTTCAGGGACCTCTTCACCTTGGCGAGAAGTCGCTGCTCCTGGTCTCTGATCCTCAGAATGCCATCCTTGATCAGAACCTCGCTACCGCGCTCATCCAGCTGACCAATGCTGATGGTGCTGGAACGTAGCTGCGGGATGTAGTATACATCCGTTAGCGCGCGGTGCTCCCCGCTCGGCATCATCGAAGATGATGGTGCCGCCCTTGATAGCCACCCTTGAGCCGTCACCAAACTTCACCGTCTGCGGTAACATCCCGTCGAGCTCGGAGAAGGAGTCCTTTGAGCCCGTCATGTGGTTACTGGCACCAGAGTCTAGATACCACCGCTGCTCCTGGTCGACGCCCACATGCCCAAGATGGACTTGGGCACGTGGTTCGTCGAGGTTGACGGTCTTCAGGGCCTTGCTAGATCCTTCCACCGTCGTCGCCTCTTCCCTCTCCATGGCCTCAATGTCGTGCAGTGCACAGAACATCGCCATAAGGATAGTAGGCTCATCCTCATCATCGGCTTTCGCCAGGTGAGCCTGAGCCTTCTTTTCCTTCTTGCGATTTGGGCACTCCCGTGCCCAATGGCCCATCTTCCCGCAACACCGACAGGTGTTGGAGTCAATTTGCTTCTTCACCAAAGAAGCCCTGCCGCGATATTTGCCGTTACCACCGCGACTGGAGGAGGCTGCCTTCCTGGAGTTTCGCCGAGCAGCCCACTCCTCTTCCTTCAGCAGGAGTTTCCCGTTGTCCTTCGTTGCTGTCGCCTGCTCCAGACGCTCGTCCACCGTCCGTAGACGGCCTGCCACATCCTCGATGGTGAGGGTGGACAAGTCCAGCATCGTCTCTATGGATAGAGCGATCTGGATGTACTTTGCCGGCACGGAGTGGAGGAACTTGGAGATCGCCTCCTCTTCGTCGATGGTGACGCCGTGGCTCTTCAGCTTGCTGATGAGCGTCTGCAGGTGGAGGGAGAAGTCCTCCACCATTTCATCATCCTTGAACTTGAGGTTTGCGTACTCCTGCTTCAGAAGCTGGGCCGTCGCCTTCTTTGCGCGGTCAGAACCGACGCGCATCATCGCAATGGCCTCCCACACCTCCTTAGCTGAGCTCTTCGTCCCCAACGGTTCCCTATACTCCGCTGGTACAGCAGCGAGGATAGCATCCATCGCTGACATGTCGTCTTCTTCCACGTCGGTGCCCTTGTCAACAGCATTCCAGAGCCGTCTGGCTCTGAGCTTGACTTTCATGGTCACCGACCACTCTCTATAGTTAGTGCGAGTCAGCGTCGGCCAAATGGTGCCGCTGACCTCCCGCACCGTGCGGACAACTACCTCCGGTAGTGGCTGGGCAGCTATGATAGTGCCACTGCCATCACCCAACTCCAAACCGCCTATCCTCGCCATCGGTTAGAATGACGACGGTGCTTGTACGGCTCCGATACCACTTGTTGGCCCACAGTTAGCCTCCCAGACCACTAGTCTCTAGACCACTGGCCCCAGATCAATAGTCTCCCAGACCACTGGCCCAGACCGCTAGTCTCCTAGACCACTGGTCTCCAGACCACTCCGTTGGTCTCATAGGATCACCGGCTCACGACAGTGCCACTGTAGCCGATCTTGCCGACCACCGGCTCAGGCGAGTGGAGCACTTGTCGGTCTCGCCGAGCACGCTCTAGTGTTGCCGAGCACCCACTAGCCGTGCAGACCACGTACCGGCGTTGTCCGTACCCACACACTACGGATCGAGCTAGAAGAAGAAGGGAGAACAGAGCAAGCACGCACGATACAAGGCAACAGCGTTGGCCGAAGCCTTGTCTGTGTGATGGCAAATCTGAGCTCTCTTTACTGAGTTGCCATACATGTCTATTTATACAACACTAACTATCTAGTCCATATGCAGCGCCAATGCTGGCACAGTAACTAGATAACCTGATAGGGCTGACTCTGCGCCGGCCACTGCCTGTTCCTACAGTGCTGTAGGTGAGCCGTGCGGTGCCTGCACCTGCAGTGGCTACTATATCACAGCAGGGGGCAAAGTCGGCGCCGCCTTCCCTTGCTGTGTTCACACACAGCAGGCAGCTAAGTCGGCGCCACCTTCCTCTGCTGTGTTCTCACAAGGTGGCAGTAGATTAGCTAACAATTACCGCCCGATCAGCCTGATTCATAGTATTGGCAAGTTGATCACCAAGTGCTTGGCAAACCGCCTGGCAACAAAGCTTGACGCACTGGTTAGCTGCAACCAGAGCGCGTTCATCAAGGGACAGTGCATCCAGGATAACTTTCGGGCCGTGCATCTATCATGCAAGGCACTGCGCGCCGTTCGCAGGCCGTGCGTCCTGCTCAAAATTGACATCGCCAAGGCCTTCGACACCGTGTCTTGGACGTTCGTGCTTGAGGTGCTACAGCATATGGGCTTTGGCCGTCGTTGGAGGAATTGGCTCTCCATCATTCTTAGCTCGGAGAGCACAAAGATCATGCTCAATGGCCGTGCAGGGAGGAGAATCTGCCATGCCAGGGGCTTAAGGCAAGGCGACCCGATGTCCCTGATGCTCTTCGTCCTTGTCATGGAGGTGATCAACCACACCATCCGATGGATTGACAGCGAGGGCCTCCTTTCCCAGCTCGGGACAGCAGCGATCACCCAGAGAACCAGCATCTACGCCGATGACTTGATCCTATTTGTGGTGCCCATGGAGAGCGATCTCGTCGCACTGAAGATAGTGCTCTAGATCTTTGGCCGTGCGTCGGGCCTCTTTGCCAACCTCGACAAGAGTGTAGCGACGCCGTTGCACTGCACACCGACTGACATTCAACGGGTACAGGACATCCTGTCATGTAGTATTGATGGATTCCCAAGCCGTTACCTGGGGATTCCTTTGTCCATCTTCCGGTTGAAGAAGGGAGATGAGCAGCCGATCATCGATTCAATTGCCGCCCGCATTCCAAGGTGGAAGGGGAACATGCTTAACGTCGCCGGCAGGACGACGCTCGTCAAGGTTACACTCTCGGCCATCCCAGTGCACACGACCATTGCACTTTGCCTCTCGTCCTGGGCAATCGAATGCATCGACAAGTTGCAGAGAGCGTTCATCTGGGCGGGCGCAGACTCGATTTCTGGGGGACGTTACATGGTCGCCTGGACGACGGTATGCAGGCCGCACGACCTAGGTGGCCTCGGCGTAGCAGACCTTCGCCGCGCCGGAGTGGCGCTCCGGGTTCGGTGGCCATGGCTCTGTCAAGTTGATCCGGAACAATCTTGGGGGTCCCTACCAGAACGCGAAGAACGTATGGTCGCAGCGGTCTTCCAAGCGACCACGGTCTCTGGCCTGGGGATCGGTGAGTCCACGCTCTTCTGACTGGACAACTGGCTCCAGGGCTCCTGCGTGCGACGCATCACGCCGTCGGTGTTCGCGGTGGTGCCAAAGAGAAGACGGCAATGCTCTGTTGCCGAGGCGCTCGAAGGAAGGGCTTGGGTGCACCATATCGGCGGGCCAAGGACCATGAGGCTCATCACTGAATTCATCAGCCTATGGAACATGGTCCAGGGGGTGCAGTTGTCGCCCGGCGTGCCCGACACGTTCAGCTGGCGGCTCACGGCGGATAGGCAGTACTCCGCGTCGTCAGCCTATGGCGCGATGTTCGTCGGTTCTTCTACACCGTTTTGGGCGAAGTTGATCTGGAAGACGTCGGCGCCCCCACGAGTCAAGTTTTTCTTCTGGCTAGTCATGCATGGGCGTTGCTGGACGGCACATAGGCGACACCGCCATGATTTGCAGGATAGCGACACCTGTATCATCTGTGACCAAGCTGTCGAGACGATGGATCATCTAATCCTCGGCTCAGCCACGAGGTTTGGGATTCATGCCTACGACGTTTCCTCCTGCATGATCTGGTCGTCGTTCACCAGGACCACATCATGCGGTGGTGGTCGACCTCCAGGAAGCGGCTGCCCAAGGTGTTGCGCCGTGGGTTTGACTCACTCCTGCTCCTCGTCGGATGGCTCCTGTGGAAGGAAAGAAACGCCAGAATGTTCAACCGTATCACTTCGTCACCGGCGCAGTTGCTTGAGGCCATTGAGCAAGAGGTTACGCTTTGGTGCGCGGCTGGGTTTAGGCAGCTAGGAGCGCTTGACGCGCGGCGCCGATCCGCATGAATACGTAGCTCCTAGAGTCGCAGAATTAGTGCACTGTAATCACAACCACGTGCAAGCTTACGAAGGGACAGGGCAAGGGCTTTGGTAATCTTAGGTTTATGATATCCCGCACTTTTGTAAGAAAACTTCTTAATCCTGCTTAATGAAAAACGTGCCAATGCACGCTCTCGGGAAAAAAAATTCCCCCAAAATCGAAGAGGAAAAGAGACGGAGGTGAGAAACACCCCCTCAAATAAATCCATCTGTGGTGCGCAACAGGAAGAGGACGAGGGGAGGGAGCAGAATGGAGCCTCACCAGCTGGAGCGGAGGAGCAGAGAAGATGAGCGAGACCCTCGCCCCGCACCCGCACCCGGAGCAGCGAGAGAGCCGCCGGCACAACATCGCATTTTTTACTTTTATAAGTCGAGGCCAAGAAACGTTCAATAGTAGAAATCCAGGCGCTTTGATTCATTATTTAATTAGAACGAAGGCATTACACATGTCCATACTCCCAGAGGAGCAGAGGGTGACAGAGAGGCACAGAGGACAACGGTGCCATTCCCTACACAGAGGGGGCATAGACACGGCGAAGCAGCACCGACGACAGGACATGGACTAGAAGCGCCGGAACTTGGCGGATTGAACGCCGATAGTTGCATTTGCAGCGGGTGTCTGAAACCACAACGCCGAGAGTTGCATTTGCAGCGCGTGTCTGAAACCACAACGCCACTGCGTGCCCAACAGGACACACCGGCCGCGCGCCTTGGCGAGGCGCCCGCCCCAGGTTCAGTGCAGAACGCCTGCTGAAGTGAGGTTGGCGATGGTCGGCATACGCTCTCCTGCAGCCATTCACCCATTCAATGTCAGTGTCATCAATGTCAGCGAGTTCAAACTGTTCAAAACATAGGGCGACAGAGGAAAGAGATGAAGGGAAAGCACCGCGCACCGAAGCAGATTGGGATGGTCTGCGGAGGGAGCTCCAGGCCGCATGCCACCGGCAGGTACAGCATGCGGACAGGGTCGACGGGCTTGGGGAGGACGGCATTGACATCGCCGTGGATGATTGGGCAGAGGCACCGGAGCCTCTGCCGCCCAGCGACCGGCGCTGCAGCTCTAGCGCTCGAGAGGAACGCAGCCAGCCCGTTGCAGCAACTGGACTGCGGCGTCGGAGGAGGACCCGCGCCCCCGTCAGGAACGTCCCGCAGGGCGCCAGCCCCGACGAGGCCGTGACGCAGTTCACGGGCGCTGGCGGCGCCGGCACCGGCACCGGTGGAGACGGCGGTGGGGGCAGGATGGGCGCCGACGACGAGGACCCGCCGCCTGGAACTGCCAAAAACGGCCCCGGCACTATGTTGCATAGGTCGCAACATGAGCACGGCTCCGGCGTTGGCGCCGGAGGTGTTAGGACTGGAGGGGTGGGAACGACCGCGGAGCTGAGCGCGTCTTCTTCGGAGGCAACCGCAATGGTAGTGATGGCCAGCACCGCGAGAAGGATGCGATCTTGCGACATTGTCTTTGGGTGTTCAGAGCGGATGCTGAAGCTGAGTTGGGTGTGCTTCCATAAGAGTCGTGCGTTTTATAGGCGTGGCAGCACACAGAAAGGCTGCGGCCTGAACTGACACCAAAGAATCTGGTTGAGGGGTGAAAGAATGCGGAGCGGTGAGCCGTCAGGGAACTCAAAGAAGTGAGGAGGAAGACGAAGATTGTGAGCGGCGCGCCCGAAAAACCTTTTCTTAAACGGGCCAGACGGCCAGGTTGCGTGCCACATGAAAACCGTGGGCCCAACAGATGGTACCTCCACCCAGAATTCTGCAATCTCAGGGCCTCCATACTTTTAATTACAGGCCCAAAGCTGGTGTAAATTACAGGCCCCCCAATATATTTTCAATTTTATTACAGGCGAGTCTAGGAAATACCACTACTCGGTTGAGTTGTGAGGCTACTTGGGTTAAAACCGGTCGAAGATAATTCTCAAGTGAAGAGACCCGGGAGATACTAGGACTTGGAGCATAGATGTAAATTCCATTCTGGTACCAGCCAGAATGACCGGAATGCCTCGTACCAGCACATAGACCGATATAGAAGAGCCGCAATCCTATACATACCGGTCAATGCTGGTTAATATCGGACAATACCGGGCAATCTTATTCGTGGCTGTATGTATTTTATTTTTCCATGTATGAACTTTGGTGTTTGAACTTTGAAATATGGTTTTTATGAACTTGCTGAATGATATGTTAGTTTGGTAGAAATGATAATTACGACATAAGTCAAGTCAGTATATATTTATATACATATTTATGTATAAGTATATATTCACATATTATTATTGTTATTATTATTGTTGTTATTATTATTATAAAGTTCGGAATCGGTATGGGCTGGTACCGGAATGTTCCATTCCAATAGCTCTCCCGAATAGAATTTACAAGTTAGATTAGGACAGCTACTATCTGCTCATCCAGCACTCCGCAGCGGAGCCGCGGAGGGAACGCACGTGCGCACAAACCTTAGCGGCTGCGGGTGGATTCGGGGCTTCATCGATTCATCAGGAAAGCACATCGGCAGTGGCTACTACGGCGGGCGGATCCACTACATCCGCGAGTACACTGACAACTGTAGCGACGGCGGGTGTATCCACGGTAAAAAAGAAAAGAAAAAGAATCTTTAAAAATAAAAATTCACGCCCTTTATTTGGGCTGGTTTGGCTTATAAGCCGTGGCTGAAAATACTGTTGGCTAGTTTGATATGAGAGAAAAATACTGTTCGTTGACTGATAAGCCACGGCTTATAAACCAAATACGACCAAGTGAACAGATCGATGAACTTTTTGTGCTTGACGGACTGCCGGCATATGCCATGGGAGCTCTCCTCCTACTTGTGGGGGTAAGGAAGCTTTGGACGCTAAACGCGTTGGGCGGTGGCGTTGTTTTCCGTCGCTGGCAGCGCTCCCTCTATGATCGGTTAGGGTTTAGGACTGTAGGCGGGGTGCTAGGCGGCTCAGGCGAACCTCGTGCTTGACGCCCCGGCCCCACCTTCTATTTATAGCGCTGTACGATGGGGGCCCATCAACTATATTAGGGTTGGATGCCTCCGATTTGGGCGCGAATCTAAAAGCCTAATTGATCGTTGGGCTAGTCGGTGGAGATTAACTAACAGTAACTGGCCAGCATTGGGACGCGCTGAGGGAGCTACTGCGCATATCCCATGCAAGGGTGGGCAATGGAGAAGACGCATCCTTCTGGCTGGACCAATGGCTAACTGATTCAACTCTTGCAGAAGCCTTCCCTTCGCTCCCCAGTCATTTCACCAAAGGAGATGCCTCGATGCAAGCAGTTCTCAGTGGAGACTGGCATTTGATGCTCCAGCCCAGGCTAACTCCGCAAGTAGAAAGGGAGCTGAGCCAGTTGAGCCATCTTCTACACGAGTTGAGGCTGGAGACATCCCCTGATGACAGGGTTCGTGCTTTCGCCAAGAACGACAACAAGCTGGCGGCTGATTTCATTTACAAGGCGTCCATCAGGGGCGAGCAACAGCTGCCTTCCTTCGACTTTGTCTGGCGCAATTTTGCCCCACCACGAGTGAAGTTCTTCGCCTCGCTTCTAGTTCAGAACAGGATCCAGTGCAAGGCAAATTTAGCAAAGAAGGGGCTGCTGTCGGATGCAACTTGTGACTTGTGCAAATGACAAAAAGAAGATGCGGATCAGGGTGTTCCTTCGCCTGCAGGTTCTGGAACAAGATAGCGTGGTGACCAAATGCAATCGTCGTCGTCGACAACCTGTGGACGACCAGTGTGCCGGGACGAGTGCCCAAGGAAGCGGCCTTAAGTTTCCTCCTCTTGTGCTGTTGGGAGCAATGGAAACACTGACATGATGTTGTTTTCAGAGGGTTGACGCCAAGCGTGGAGAGACTAGTGGTCACCTGCAAAGCCACGACCACCCTATGGCAATGTCGACTTCCCAGAAGCTCCGTCGCCTTAGCTAATTTCTGGAGTTCCATTCGCCCGATGTAATTGCTCCCCCCATCTCTGTGATTTTCCTTGTAATTGTGGTGCCAAGCCAAACTTTTGGGGCATTTGCGACCCACCAGAATTTTCTGGAATCTGTGGTAATATAATCATGTGGGCATCGTTCGTCTCCCCATTGCATTTTTTAAAAAAATGATCTTTTATGGCGTACGCATCACAAATTGGGGACTCAATGCTATACAAAATATGTTACTTGGTCTTATTTTCTCATGGTGATGTACGCCTATATGGATCCACCATGAAAAATTTGCTCAAGCGGATGTCACTCCCAAATGTTCGATTTCCAACACCTAAATCTAGATACATCTATAGGTAAAGCCCCTCACAACAAATGTCCATTTAAACGTGTACTATATGTGAGCTACTCCCTCCATCCCAAATTATAAATTATTTTAACTTTGTTAGAGAGTAAAAGCATCTCAAATTTGACCAAATTTATATAATAGTAATAACATTTGTGACACCAAATAAGTATCCCTAGATTCTTCATTAATTATATTTTCATAGTGTATATATTTGATGTTATAATAAATCTTTATAATTCTACATAATTTTGGTAGAACTTGAGAGACTTTGTCTCTAATAAAATTAAAATAACTTATAATTTGGAACGAATCGAGTATTTATCTATATCCAAACATGGCCTGCATTTGAGTTTTTTTTTATCTCTACCTGTATGTCTAGGTTATTTTTAGAACTGTTCAAGTTAAGCTACCATTCAGGATAAAGTCATGTTTATCGTTTTCAGTCACTTTAATGTCAAAGCTAAAATTCTATAGCTGTAGCTTTAATCTCAAACTGCTTATAATTTATTAAGAAGATAAAGGCTTTTCCTCGAAGGAAGGAAAAAGAAAAGAAATTAGAAAGAAAAAAAAATGGCGCCTCGTGGTGGCTTTACCTGGTTTTCTCACGGCCACGGCTTGCTGCTTCGTCTCCCTTCCGTCGCCGACCGAGGAGAGGGAAGAAAGGGATTGGAAAAGCTAGGGTTTTCGCCATGGCCATCGCCCACCTCCAGCTCCCCGTTCTCGAATCCATTCTCCCCACGCTCTCCTCCTAGCTGCCGCATCTCGCATCGCCGCAAAAAAAGGGCCCGCCCGCTTCGATTCCGCTCCCCCATTCGAGGGTTTCCCTCCCCTTCCCCCAAATCGAATCGCAGCATTACCCGCCGAGCAAGCAACCCACCGACCAATCGACCCACCCACCCGCCCACCCGCCCTTCAAGGCTTCGACGGCGCTGGCGATCCAGCAGGGGGCTTGCGCAGCGGAGGCGGCCGGATAACCCAATGTGTATGCTCTGCGCCGTGCAGCGCTGGTCGCGGCGCGTCGCCACCATGCTCCCGTGGCTCGTCGTCCCGCTCATCGCCATCTGGGCCGCCACCCAGCTGCTCCTCCCGGCCGCCTACCGCTTCGAGGTCACCTCCCCGCGGCTCGCTTGCGTCTCCGTGCTCCTCCTCACCCTCTTCTGGTACGAGATCCTCCTCCCGCGGCTCTCCCTCTGGCGCGCCCGCCGCTCCGCGCGCCTCCGCGAGGAGCGCCGCGCGCACGCGCTCGAGCTCCACAAGCTCCGCAAGACCGCCACCCGACGCTGCCGCAACTGCAGCAACCCCTACAGGGACCAGAACCCCGGCGGCGGCAAGTTCATGTGCTCCTACTGCGGCCACGTCTCCAAGCGCCCCGTGCTCGACCTTAATTCGGCCGGGAAGGCCCCTCCAGGTGGCCTTGCGCTCAGGATTGTGGAGACTGGCTCGACCTGCGCTGCTCCTCCAGCGCCAGTACCTCCTTCTGGGGTTCTCATGGCACCTGCTGTTGTCATTTTCACAGCAACAGTGAGGTGGCCATTGAGGAAGATATTCAGATTTACATCGTCAGGGGACGGTGAGGGCTTGGGCCCAGATGGTAAGAGGTTGGCAAAGGGAGGGGAGAATGGGGGAAAAGCTGAGGAGAGCAGGGTCGAGAAGGCGAGGAGGAAGGCAGAGGAGAAGAGGCTGGTGAGGCTGGAGAGGGAAATGCTGGAGGAGGAAGAAAGGAAGCAGCGGGAAGAGATGGCAAAGCTGGTGGAGGAACGCAGGAGGCTGAGGGATGAGAAAGCTGAGGCCGAGGAGCGGTCCAAAAGCGCTACCCCTGTTGGGGAGAAGGATGCTAGGAGGGAGGCAGAGAGGCGGCGCCAGGAGAGGAGGAAGAAAGAGGACAAAGGGTCAAGCAAGAGTAATTCAGATTCTGAGGACATTGATAGACGATTGGGCCGAGAAGGCGACAGGAAGCGAGCCTTCGACAGAAAGATGGACTCTGACAGACGTGAGGGTTACAAGCCTCATTACTTTGAAGCTAACAATCATAGTAATAAGACAGTGGAGAGCAGAGCAAAGTACTTTGGCCGTATGACGGGTGGTTTCTTATCTTCGTCAAGAGGGTTTGGCGGTGGTTCCTTCTTTGGCAGAAGTGCTCAGGCCCCTGCTCCTCAAGTTAACAAGGTTAGCAGACCTGTAGTTCCTGCAACTGACCAGGGTGATGCAGCCAAAAGAGATGTCCAGCATGCAGCCAGGCAAGCTGCAGCCAAATCCGCTTCAGCTGGGGAAACCAGAAATTCATGGA